TAGGGGTGAATCCGACCTTGGACCATTTCATATTCACCTTCAAACTGACCAAGGGCCATAAGGATTGGGCGTCCTATGCCAGTCTTTCCCAGAGGTCCAGTAAACTCTTTGCTAGTGATAAGAAGGGGTCAACCAAAGATTGGAAGCCTTTCTTTGTCTTCGTTTCGACGGGGCCCGAATCTCCTTTCACGGGTTCAGGGCGCCCTTCCTTCCGTCGCATCCCACGCCCCCCACCTGATGCCACCCTTTTGTCTATCACTCGCTAATTCTGCAATAAGGGAGTTATGAACATCAAAGAGGTGGTGACAGAGGAAACCCTTGCCGGGTTGGGGTTTGAGTTTGTTCAGGATGAGCTTCGCCACAAACCCGACCTACTGAGGGACTTCCCCGGGGGGCATCAGCCTGATCAGCTGAAGGACATTCCTGAGGAAGGTCTTGATTGTGGTCCTTTTGGTAGGTGACCCTTTCTCAGATGTTTAGTTTATTTTTTCCAAAGGCTGACCATTTCCTTTGTTTCCAGTGGAATTACAAGATTCAGGAGAAGAGATGGACAGCGATCTCCTGCTCAGTCGCTTCACCGCAGGGAGGAAAAGGAAGAGAGAGACGAAGGGCCAGGGCAAACGTTCTTCATTCCACCACGAGGAGGGTCCTTCTCGAGAGCCGGTCGTATTTGTGGTGGAGGACCAAGAAGATGCTACCCAGGAACCGGGTACCATGGCTGGCCAGTCCCCTCCACACCCCGTGATGCAGGGTGGCGACCTCGCTGGGTCGTCTCAGGGCATTGCCTTGGAGCGACCTCCCTCACCACCCGCAGTGACCTACGAGGTGGCGACCGGGGGTCGCTCGACGAGGCTCTGCATCACTCCCCTGCCCCAAAGCCTAGGGAACGTACAGCTGGAGACTCTTATAACACTGCCTGTAGAAGACCAGGCTCGTATCTCGGCAGGCTCCGAGGACGACCTTGACAACATGGTCCTTTTGAGGCTCAGTCAGGTACTGGTCTTGATCTCCTATGCATCACTCCTTTTCTTTAGGCCCCTAACCCTCACCTCTTTGCGCAGGCTATGCTGGGGATGATTGAGGTGGTCGGCCGGAAACGGGGTCGCCAGGCCGCCGCATACGAGGTGATGAAAGCAGCCGAGGCCAAGCAGAAGGAGCTGCAGGAGGAGGTCGCCCGACTCACCAGGGAGTTGGAGGAGAAAGAAAATCGCTGCGCGGCGCTTACTGTGGAGAAAGCTTCCCAGGAGAACCGCTGCGTCGCCCTTGAGGCAGACAAGGCCTCCTTGTCCTTGGAGGTAGAATCTGTTTCTGCTCGAGTGGTCGAGCTGGAAGGGGAGAAATCTGATCTGATCCAGCAGTTGGAGGTGGAGAGGAGCGATCGGGTCCGCCATGCAGAGGGAGCGGTAGAATCCTTCAAGTCCTCTCCTGACTTCACGGTAGTCGCAATGGAGCGGATGGAAGAACTAACGGCCGCTTGGCTCAAAACTGAACCTGGGGCCCAATGGATGGTCAAGGAGGGAACCAAGTCCTTCAATTGCGGACTCTTCCATGCCCAACAGGTCTTCCACAACAGGCTGGCCCAGCTCCCTAAAGGATTCTCTCTCCCCGACCTTGGCTTCCCTCCTCCCTGCCGCTCCTTGGCCGAGTTCGACCCCAGTCCCTATCTGGACGGGGGGAGCTCGAGTGCGTCGGAAGAGGAGGAAGAAGAAGAAGTGGAAGGTGGTCAGAGCGACCAGAATCCAGGGGCCAGCCTAGCCATGTCCAAAGCGGGTGGACCCTCCGGCTCGGCCGTCTAAATCCCCCATTGTTCCCCCATAGCTTTACCAACACTTGCCT